GTATTTCCTCAGCGACCAGCACGGATCAGCTCTAGGCATGACGAAGCGGATATCGTCCTCTTTTGGAAGGCCAAACAAAGTAGTTTCGCTTTCACAACGAAACACAGCGCCTTCACTACATGGCGGCGGCAACAACACTACTACAGCGAGAATAAAAGTTACGCCTTCTTTCTTTGCGTGAACATTTGGGCGGCGTTATGCAAATCTTCCCAGATAGTAACGAAGGTATGTGGGGGCGTGTTAGAACGAGCCGTTTTAGGTAGGTGTGGCTGACTCTTAACTTTTATAAAGAATATCTCTTTGGATTTGAGACTTTAGTCTTTGCAACTTTACAGATCTTCTTTATGCACCAAGAGCTTGTAACACTCCAAAGAGAAAGTAAAAATTTAAATCGCATCATATGACCCCTTTAATGTTTGTAATGCAATCCAAAAGCAAAAAACAAAACAAAAAACAAAACATTAAATAATACTGAGCAAAGCATGAATTTTACTGATGGGACAACAAGAACTATTTAAATGAACTCCTATTTGCAAATTTATCTGTTTGTTACTTCTCAGTGTGACATATAAACCTGAAAGGACAGACAGAAAGAGACAGACGAAGATACAGTGAGCCAGAAACAGAGAATGAGCGAGAACAAAGAGGTTCAACAAGTGGAGCCTCAATCAAGACCTGCACAGAGAGACAAGTGTGCTTGTGTCTGTACTACGGTACACACAGAACAAAAAAACAGCTTGTTTTTCCTCTCTCTGAACAGTTAACCTTCCTCTTGGCTTTTGGCCATGTCACCTCTCTGACTGTCCTTGGTCCAGCAGGTCTGACCGACCCGGTCTACTAACAAGCAATTGCACTGAACTATACCTTCCTGAGAACAAACCTATTTATAAAAAAAAGAAAAAAAAACAATCATTATGCTTCCTTGCAGCTTAAGCAGCTTATTTTTAGCACAGGAGTTAAAGAAAACATCACCACTCAACAGTCCTGAACCACAAAAGAAAAAGAAAGAGGACAGGCAGAAAGACACACACAGAGGATTGAATTGGCCAATCTTCATAACCATAGGCGATCTATAAAAGGTCCCTAAACAGCTCAACACAGTGTTGACAACGTGTTTAGTGACAAGACTTTTTTTTTCATTCCACAAAAATATGTAATTGTAACAGGACATAATAACAGCCATCCAGAAGACATGTAATATTTCATATACAGTTATGAGGAGCAGAATTTCTACCGAGCATGATGCCACACAACATGAAACCGGGTTAATGACAAAATGTCTTGAGTATTTACATTTTTTTCTTCACTGTGTCACATGTAGTTAGGCCACAGATTTAGAGGTATCACAACTGTTATAAAGACACATGAAAACAACCTCTTACCTCTTCTGGCAAAGTAAATCCAGACACAGATGACAAATTATAAATCACGAGCAAAAATTTGTACTGATATGCAAATGAGGGCTATAGAGATCAATGTGGAACTCCTTATTTGTTTTGTTTTTTAATTAATCATAAAGTAATATCTCTATACAGCCAAATAAATATTTGCCCCACACATTCACTTAAATTCTCTACTGTAAGCACAAACTAAACGTGATCATAAAGTGCACATAAGCAGATGTGTTTGTATGTGTAAACAAAGGCCATTTATAAAGCACTGTCTACAAGGTCATTAACATAAAATGGTGTGAAAATGCACCTGCAAGTTTGTGTGTTTATTCCATTCTTGAGTTTCCCACAGATATTCTAGTTTCTCTGTAACTTCAGTCACCTCACCTGATGGAGGAGCACTTACTCAACATGCACTCAAACGCATGCGTTCACTGACACAGCACAGAAAAGAGAAACACTTACCCTCTGTTTGCGTGCATGGTTCCTCCTCTTGAAAAACAGAATCAGTTTCTTTCTCATCATCTGATTCCTGCAGCAATAAAAACCAGTCTGTTTACATTCCCTCTCATAAAAGGCGCAAACACTGTACACTGAACAAGATTTCTCTGCTGATACATAACCTGCCCACAGTCAAGCATGGTGAAAACAGCCTCTCATTGAGTCCTGCCAACTCCATCAGAAGAGCTGAATTCTCTCTAGTCTCTACTTTCAAAAAAATGCCTCAAGATACAATTCCATGAGACCCTGACTCACAAGTTGTTTGTGCGCTTACTTTCTTACCCTTTAAAAACCTTCTCTACTCTTTTACTTTCGTCTCATCACCAATTCTGTAGGGACACAGACTTTTGCATCTCTCCGTGTAATTCACGTGGCACTTCTCCTGTTACTGTCTCCCTAGCATGACTCGCTTTTCTTGCTTTGGATAAAAGCATCTGATAAATGAATGAATATTAATGACTCTTACTCCAGGTTTGATATCATATAACATTCAAAGAAACTTAATGCCTTCACACATTTTGTGGATCAGTGATGTGGGCTGTGCACAATGCAATTTATTTTAGGCTGCTTTTTTAGATTTACCTTTTAAAAGTTTGGGGTCAGTAAAATGTTTTCATGTTTCTGAAAGAAGTCTCATTATTGCTAAGGCTGCATTTATTTGATTCAAAAATATAGAAAAACAAACAAAACTTGTTAAACAGTACAATTTCCAAAATAACTTGTCTATTTTTATATATTTTAAAATGTCATTTATTTCTGTGATGGCAAAGCTGAGTTTTCAGCAGCCATTCCTTAAGTCTTCAGTGTCGTGTGATCCTTCAGAAGTCATTCTAATATGATTTGGTGCTCAAAAAACTTTTATTAATAGAAATCTTTTGTAAGATTATAAATGTCTTTAGCCACTTTTGATCAATTTAATGCATCCTTGCTTAATATTCATTTAATTAAAAATAATTCACTAAAAAGCAGATTTTATGGAGTCAAAATGTTTTGAATGGTAGTCTATGATAGTACTGCTTCTTCTGATTCATGATAACTGAGGGTTTTCCTCCTCACATACACACCCCCTCCTATGCTGTCTGAGTCGACCGGACGCAACACACAAACAGACTGACCGACCTTGACCTGTCTACATACACACAGTAGTTTCACTTTAACCCACATACGATTAGCTGGCGAGTCATTGTTTGCCTCATATAAATGACTCAGCACACACCATGCCACATCAACTGCCTGTTGGCTGCTTAAAGTGTCTGACAGCCAAGATGATGTGGGTGAGAAATGAAAGCTTACATACAAGCACCTCAAGGTTCATGCTGCTTTTTGGAAGAAAGAAAAAAAAAAAAGTCACGTCCCACTCACTTATAGTTTGCACCAGCCTCCAAAAAAATTCTGGCTTATAGTCAAAGCTCCAAGGGAACACAGACCATTTTCAGAGTCTGCGTTGTATTTAACTTTTATCATACATAGCGAAGAGCAGTTTCACTGCTCTTGACAATAACCGTTATATTTATAAAAAAAAAAAAGCTACATTTTGATATTTGTTAATATCACACACACTAATATCAGAGATAATTCAGCGTCAGTCTGGTTGATGCATTAAACATAGAAGGTGGCAGTCTTACACCTTAATGCTGGTTGCCACCTGTCATAAAAAGAAAAAAGACGACCACAGTGCAGTGTGTGGCTACTACTTAAAGCATTATTGATTTATTTAATCAACATTTCTATAGATATTATGATAATACCTTCAAAGTGATTTTTTTTTCATACAACAATCATATAGTGAAAATATGATATTGTGACGGCTCTAAATGGGACCCACAAATAGTAGATAATAATATTAATAATTCATTACATTTATATAGCGCTATTCTAGGCACTCAAAGTGCTTTACATTGTCAGGGGGTATACAAGATATAAAAATTATGGCTGATACTGTTAAGTCTATAGTCTGTACTATTTGTTATTTTGTCTAAACAAATTAAAAGTGTAATTACATTAGTACTGTTTTTAGAGACAGCAAAGGATTACTTTAACAGAAAAAACACCTCCAATATTGGCTAATAACCAATAAGGATATATTGTGCATCACTAGAAAAAAAAAAAAAAACAAGTCTGAAGTCACATGATCAACGACTAGTCAACACAGAACAAAATTTGAACTAATCATCTAGTCTGTGCAGTCCATTGCTCACACATCTGATTTGTCCGGTCAAAGCCACTATTCGAATTATTTACTGTTAGCTTACAGAGAGCAGATACTCACGTCTTAATGTTGTCATGGTAGACTTTAGTATCAGAGGGCTGGTTGTACAGAGGCTGTGGAGAGACAGAGGAAATGGCTGCAGATTAGCTAGAAGAGCAAACTCACACAATCTATTGCACCAGAAAAGAATTTCACACAGCACTCACCAGCTCCACTTTAGGCCCCAACCCTTCCAGTATCTTATGGGCTTCTTCTGCCTTTTTCTGTGGCACGACAGAGACAGAATGTTGGTAAAAGAGACAGATGTATGTCCCTTGTGGTTAGATAGTCTGCCGACACACCACACTAAACGAACGAACTGTGCTCTCATTTGTTGACTTCTAGCTTTGATACAGACAGAATGTGTGAGGCTTTGTGCATTTCAGCAGCAGAAACACAAATTGTTTAAGCTGACAAACAATTTATCACTTGTTTGGAAAACATTTTCTCCTCCAGGGTGAAAGGGAGTAAAAATAAACATGCCAAAAATCACCATTTCCTGAGCTGCAATGTTCTGTCTGGGAAACGCCTCTATTACACAATCCCACAATTCTTTACACTCAAAGCTACAATCTGTTTTTGTAACAGTTGCAAGTAGGGGTGCTCCGATTGATCGGCTACCGATCACTATCGGCCGATAATGACGTTGGGATGATTTGATCGGCGGTCTCTAAAAAGGCCGATCTCAAAAAAACGATCTCAAGCTGATGACGCTGCCGTGAGAGGTCTCATCGTCTCAATCTCTGTCCGGCAAATTATAAAACAATTATAATGCTGAAAGCGAGTTACTCACCTTCATATTTCTTCATTAAATAACTTATAAAGTAATTTGAAAACCTTGTGTGAGACGTAATTTCACAAACAGCAAATGTACGCAAAATACGCAAATGGATTCAAATCACCACACATCGCATCTGTCTATAAGCGAGCTGCACACTGCACAGTTGACACAGGAATTGTCACTTGCACAGTCGGGGATGTGTCACATCCTCACTAAAGTTGATAAATTGCATTTCTTTTTAATTCTTGCCAGCGTTTAACCATTCAGCGCTCGTGCGCTCTCCTGGAGACCGTGCGTTCATGCCCACTCGCAGAGCACACACATAATGCCAGGTTCACATTACTCCGTTTGCAGTACGAATGTGGTGCGTATTTTTTCCGCAAAATACGGCACTAATAGATGGCACTCGTGCGTAGGAAAACAAAGTTCTTTATGAACCGCAGGATTGCTTGTAATAAAGATTTAAATGCAAAAGAAAAGGCAGTAGAGCTGTCTATTTCTGTCAATGGTAAGTTTGTGATAACGTAAGAAAAGTAGTTTAAATGTTTTGCCAATTGCTTGAGCAACTTAATATATAAATCTAGAAGTAAATGCAAAAGTAAAAAGCACTGAATAATGTGGTGATTATATTTATTGTGTTTAAACATGCCTGTGAAAGATTGTATTACTGTACTGTGTAAAAAAAAGAATGGCAATGCTGAAAAAGCATTTTCAGGGACAATGTTTGGATTTGAAATAAAAATAATGGATAAATGTTGTGTTTGTGGTAAACAGCCACAGATCAGTAGTGGACTCCTGTGTGAAAGCTGCTTCCCCTCTCACAAGAGTCACCAAAGAGGGGAATTCACCCCATTTTCAAAAATGAAATTCAGGCCCTGAATAAATGTCTAAAAATCCTGATTGGAGTATCACTATAAATAGTTATAAATGATAAAAAGAAGGCTTTAAAAAGATCGGTATCGGCCGATACTGATTTCTGTGATCGGTGATCGGCCTCAAAAACCCTGATCGGAGCACCCCTAGTTGCAAGCATCTACCAAATATGTGTTGTCTGTGTATGTCCCAGACCAGGGTGCTATAGTTTTGCCTCACTTTACCAATCTGTACAGTACAGTCTCATCTGTTATTGTGCTCAGTTAACTTTCCTTCCAAAACAAGAAAACAAAAACCGGCATATGCACATAATCGCTAAATTTAAGTGTCCTGAGTACACACACGGACACATTTTTTTAAAAGAAACAAGGAATAAAGAAACTGAAATTAAATTCATGAGACATTGGGTCTTGGCTGATCAGACGACAATAAACAGGCAGAAATACAAAAAGCCTTCAGCATATCAAGAGGTAGCATACTTCTCTTTAAAGGGGACATTGGGTGAAATATTCACTTTTTTTAAGCTTTTTTTTTTTTTTGCATTTATTTAGGTTTCTAGCATGTCTGCCAGCCCTGTAAAGAAAGAGAGCTGAAAAGAAAACACGCAGCCAGTTTGTTATGGGCTGCCTGAGTCTGCGAGCTGTGTCAATTTACAGTAGATAGCTAGCTGTAAAGTATGTTACAGTCATTTCATGAAGACCCCAAAGAATCATACCAACTTGTGGAAAAAGGGCATCCGATGTCCCCTTTAAAGTTCATACTTTGCCTTGTCTACTATTTAAAGCCATATGCTCTTAAACAGTCACATCACACTCGGTCAACAATAAAATGTCCAAAAAAAAACCTCTTAACCGAGTTCAATTAGTCACTGATTATCTTCTCCCAGAGGTGTTCAAAGACTCTCAGGAAACTATTTGCTCACTGCGAATAATCTAAGCACACTTTAACAACAATTGAACATGATCTGTAAAGAGCACACTCTGCTAGCTTTCTGATTGTGAGAGAAAGACATCAGGTGTTAATGGGTTCATACCCGGTTTTCATCATAAATGATCTGGACGATGCTGCGATGTTTGTGTTCCACAGGGGGCGGCGTCACTGGCTTTTCTGGCTCTACTGGCTTTGATGCCTCCTCCTCCAGTTGTTGCTAAGACACAATAAACATGACAATATACCTTAAACCTGAAGTCTGAAACAAGCATATAAACACAGACACATACAATAATAATAATGAACATTTTCTGAACATGAAATCATTAAGAATTCACCCATTTTGATAGCTCACAAGTTAACTCACAAAACATATTGCTTTGAAAAGAAAAAACAGACCTTTTTTTAGCACACAAATTGAAGCATCATTCATGTCTTTAGCATAACTGGTGTGGGATGGTTGTTAAAAGTATGGTTAAAAGTATGAGCAATAATTAGTGATACATGCCTCAGTAAGCACCACTAATCATAGGGATGAATGACTACAACAGACACAATAAAACCTTCTCCCAGATATCAAAGTGATGTGCAGAGGTGCACTATTACATTCATATAAGGTCTCAACAAATTTCCCCTGTGACCTCCCTTCTAAAACTGCAATGCATAATTAAAGTTCTGTTAAAGTGAGACTTTTTTCATCTCCTATACAGGAGTGAACAAACAGGTAAAAGACAAAGATCTTTTAAAGACTATAAAGACAGTGGTATACAATGCAAGATAACTGTTTGTTGTTTTTCTGTCACATTTTCACCATCGGGCCAGTAGGGAAAGTACCTTCAACCAGCATGCTAGTATCTCTACAATCAGATATTTAAGAAAAAGAAGATGGTAGACGGAGTGAAGAATGAATGTGTACACTTGCTGCTTATCATGATGCAAGCCTGAAGGATTTGGCATCGCCATCAAAGAGCAAGAACAGTTGGCAAAGAAAGGGAGTTGTGACAAGCTTCTTTCAGAAGGGCAACATTTCCCACAAGGCTTAGTTATTGATAAATACAGAACAAAAACCCAATCTGCTTCTAGCTGTGAGCACCAGAGTAAGGGAGCTTTCCTGTGACATGGGGCTGAACCCTGGGACGTGCGGGGAAAGTGTGAGATGGTCAGCTGTTTTGGTTGTGATTTAAACAAACAAATCTTGTCATCACACAACTAGCAACTAAAACCTCCATAAGCTCTTTATTTACAAAATGAACTATAGCTTAGAGCAGTGTTTCCCAACCAGGGTGCCATCTGTCGAGAGCAGGGGTGCCGTGTAAAAAATCCTTTTTTAATATTTTTAAATTGCTAAAATGTTCAAAAAAGCATCTATTATATAATACCCATTTCTGATGTCGCCAATAATTAGAGATGCACCGAAATTCCGGCTGCCGAAAATTAGTTCACCGCTCAGGTTTCACTTTCACGTGGTGTGATGCTCTGCATATTATCCCACTCTATGCGTGTGCGCTCCGCTCAGTCGTGAGCGCTCCACTCATATACCGTTCATGTCGATCATGATCATCATATCGAAGTTAGAATTTCAAGTATTGTGACAAAATTAATTTTGTAGTGTGCCACAAATTTGTTAAAATTTCCAAAGGGTGCCGAGACTAAAAAAAGGTTGGGAAACACTGGCTTAGCGCTTAAAACAAGTAGTTCTTGAGCTGTAGCAGTGTTTAAGTCTCTCTCATGCATCTGTGTTTAGTCAGGCTACATACCTGTTTCTTTTTCAGTTTGAAAATCTGCTGCTCGACCTTGGCAATCTCACGGTCAACGCGGTCCATGCTCTGAATCAACTCCTCCTTGGAGAGTTTGGAGGGCGATGTGTCCTCACCCACCTGTGGAACTCCACCTGGGGACGAGGCCTCCACCTTCACACTAAACTGGGTTTCCTGTCCCAGAAAACGAGGGAAAAAAGTGAGAGCACAAGAATAAGTACAAGCCTTCAAACAACCCTAAAAATAAAGCAAATACCGGTTTGTTTTATGGAATGAGGAAATATTTAAAACTCTTACATCCACACACATACATACACACACACACACACACACACACACATACATTTATTACCTTCTTGACCTCTCCAGTGGTCCTGATGCTGTCCTGTATGGTCTGTGGAGGGGGCAGTACGATGCCGGTGAGCTGAGCTCTTGAAAAGTGTGTTTCAGATACGTTCTCAATGCGGGGACGCTTGGCCTCGAAAGTCTCCTGCTCCTGCTGAGCTGGGACGGCATGAAACTGTTGCTCATAACCATGTCTGCGCTCCGTTGGCCTGCAGGATTTGGAAGAGATACTTATAATTACAATTATTATGCTTTAAAAACCTCAGCACCAAACAATGTTACTGAAAATAACACAAAACCGTAAAACCCTAAAAAGGGCAAATCCATAAAGAGACATCAGAAAATTAATTTAATGCTATTTTCCATCTTTTTGGAACTCAAATAATACAATTTCATGATTTTTTTCTAAACTTGACTCTAATATTTAATTTTAATGTTTGTATCCCCCAGGATATGTTGCTCCTTTGGGGGTATAAATTCACTGAAAACAGAACACTTGTTTATCAATGCTTGTTACAGCATGGTTGTAATTCCTGAACTCTTTGGAGTACAGACCTAAGGTTGGTCTCTTTTTAAAGAAGACACATAGCAGATTATTGCTGAAGTGAAAGCATTTCAAAAAAAGAAAGTATAAAAAAAAGTTATAAAAGTTTAGGTTTACAGTAAAGATAATGTAGTATACTAGGGTTGTGACGGTGAGGAAATTTTCCCACCGGTTAATCGACGTGTGACAACACCGGTAATACCGGTATCACCACGGGGGCGGGGCGTTCCCTCTTTTCCCTTCGCTTTTAAATCGCTTGTAAAAGCGGTGTGCCCATTTTACTTTCACTTTAAAATAGCGGCAATTCGGAGTAAAGCAATTGTTC